TCATACATATAGAATTTTTTTTTAAAAAAAAATTGAGGTTGGGCGAGGCCGCTTTACTAGATCTGCCCATGGTGGGAGCAATTCAAAACTGCACGAAGTGTTAGGTCATTAATAGGGGAGTGGTGGATGCAATGCAATGAAGTTTTACTGAACTTTTGCTATCCTAAAAATTATACTTTTTTTTTTCTTGATTTGATTTTGTGTTTGCGTTTTCAGGTTGCTTGTGTTTGTCTTTGTCTTTGTCCATAAGTTAGATTAACGAATATATGCTTTTTCAACAATACCATATAGTCATTGTCTTTGCTAAAATCTAACAGAATCAGTGACGTCGTAAAATATATTAAAATGAACTATCAATTTTACCCTCAAGTTGACTCTTTAGTTTTATTAATCGATTGATATTTAATTTTATTAATTTAAATATTAATTTTATTACACTAACAGTAATTTCATCAATTTAATATCAAATTTATATTTAATTTCATCAATTTTCTATTCAATTTCATTAAATTAATATTTTAAAATTTAGTTTTATTAAATTAACATTCAATTTATTTAATTTAGAATTTAGTTTCATCAAATTGACATTTAATTTCTTTAATTAAGGGCTCGTTTGATAACATTTACAATTTTTGATTTTCTAAAAAACGAAAAACAGAATCAAAAAACGAAAAACGTCTTTTTCTCGTTTTTGAAAATTTTCCCTCGTTTACAAAACGATGACAGAAAAAATAAAAATAAAAACGGTTATCAAACGAGTTTTTTTTTTCTTATTTTATCTAAATATCAAAATAAAAATAAAAAACATAAACGTCACCAAACGGGACCTAAAATACTAATTTCATCACACTATCACTTCCAACCCTTGAAAAGTCCGATAATTAATTATGAGTAATCGTAAGATGATAATATTGATCTTCCAGAAAAATAAATAATTGTGATGACAAGTTAATGGGACAATAGTAGAATTTGTTATATAAGTCATGTGATAGAATGTGATTCGCTTAAAAATTATTCGTAATTAAATAAATAAAAATTTTGGAAAAAATATCCTGGAGGAGGGAGACATTCAAAATCCTCTCACTAATAATTTGATTATTATATATAATAAATAGATATATTGCTGGCCTATACAACATGCGGTTCCTTGGTTTAAAGCCATGTTTGGTTTCAAGAAAAAATCAAGAGTTTGGGCCAATTTAGTAATCGGCCCAGTTGTCCCAGAAGCAAAATTGGACCTGCCCAATTTCAATAGTTTCAGTCACGGGCAGGTTTGTCCTCATGCTTCGAAGGAGAATTTGTTTTCTCTAATTTCAATAATTTTAGGGAGCCAAAATTTTTTTTTTCAATAATTTTAGTCATGATCCCACCCTAAAGCGAAATAGTGGCATGTAACCTAAGGGGGTAGTTCAAGACTTCAAGTGGTAACAGAGATATGAGTTGTAAAAACAAATGCTCTGGATTAAAATTTTGTCAACTTATTGGAATTAAGTCATTTTTATAAATACCTTAGTTTTAATTTAGATAACATTTCTTTGATCAAATTGGAGAAGTGGTTAGTTGAAGTGCGCGTAAGTTAGTCCGAATATGTCACGTGAATTAAAACAAATTGAGAGGATTGAAATAAAAAGACAAAAAATTAAAGGCATGTTTGGATTGTGTCTCCAAAACAATTTTATGTTCTAAAAAAAATAAAACTCTTGAAATGTTGTTTGGATAACAATTTCTAAAAACAATTTTTCTAAAAAAGTGAAAATTAAGAACAAATACTAGAGAACATTTTGTTTTCAAGTTAAAATAGAAAATAAGGAAACAACTCTTAAACTCTTTAATGAGGTCTCCCCTTCGAATCTCCTTGACAGTAAAACTAGTCGTAGAACAAAAGTTTTTTTTTTCCCTCTCTCTCTCTCTCTCTCTCTCTCTCTCTCTCTCTCTCTCTCTCTCTCTCCATGTTGCCTCTCAAACAGAACGAACGCAGACACACACATAACTAGCGTCTTCTCTGGCGATTGGAGGTCGTCTTCTTTGACGAGTAAGAGCTCTTCGATGAAACTAGAGTCTCCCCAAATTTCTCTCTTTCCACTTCGGCGAAATCAGACGAGAACACACACAATCTGTCTTATCCTTCAAGATCTTGGTTCATGATCTTCTCTATTTTTTGTTTTATCAAGATCTTCTGTTTTTGGAACACAATTAGATATGGATTCAATTTACACTAAATTTGGGCGATATAGGTAAGGGTGTCCATAGACCGAGTTATCCACGAGTCCCATTACTCGGCCCGAAAAAAATAGGCCAAAAACTCGATAGGCTCAATAATTGGCCTGCTGAACCAGAGCTCAATATCCATAAAAAAGGGATTTGAGTTTGCCCCCAAACCCATTATTCGGCCCGAAGCCCTGCGCAATAGCCCATCCAAAAAATTTGTTAAAACCTGGCTCAACAGCCTGCCCTTCAAGCCTAGCCCGCCTACCCTTCCTTTAAAAAGAAAGTTATATTTTTAAACCATTAAATTTGAAACTTTGAAATAAGTTTCTCAATGTCAAAATTTGAAATTTGAAAAATTTAGATACTATAACTAATGTATTATTTTCTTTTTCATTTATTAAATATATAAGTGAGTATGTGTCAACTTAATCGTGATGCATTTATTCTATTGAATATAGTTTATCCTTAATCAAAAATAAAATTATTTATTATTTTATTTTTATCTATTTTGACTCTACTTTTGATTCAACAATATAATTTACACAAATATTAAGTTACAAAAATATTTATTATTTTTAAATGAAGTTGTATATAAAAAAATCCATGAGCAGCCCCGCCAATATGCTTGCGGATAGCCTACCCCTACCCGAAGCTCGGCTCGGTTTGCCCGATAACTCACTTAGATAAGAGCTTGAGCCTACACTACCCATACCTGGCTCATGGACAACCCTAGATATAGGTGTTTGTTCTACAGTGTTTGGGTGTGTGTTCTTCGAGTGTGTGTATATAAATTGATGTTGATATGGATATTGAAATTGTTATATAAATTGATATTGAAATCGATATTGACATAAATTGAAGTATTGTGCAAACATATATTTAGGCTGTTCAAACAACTTTCACTATTTTCTATTTTGTAAAATTATTTTTTGAATTATCTAACCAAACAAGTTATTCTTCTCAAAAAATATCAAAACACACTTTTCTAAAATTTTTCTCAAAATTTGAAGATTGTTTTTTGAAATACAATCCAAACACACCCTAAAATGCTCATATCTCAAAAATCTAATCCACCATTAGCACTTTCATTATTGTCTCTGCCACAATCACAACCATCATCATCATTGCCACCATCACCTCGACTATTGCTACTGTTCCTACAACCATAACCATCATCATTGTCACTTTTACTGTTGCCATTACCATAAATAAGTAATATATGGAACAAAAAGGCTTTTTTAGTTAGTTTTGTATTAGTAGTACCAACCCTAAATCCTGTTGTGTTAACCAAACACAAAGAAAATTTTCACTACCCTATCTTTTATCTCTTGTCCGAGATTGAACAGAATTCGATTAGATTATCTTATTTGATCATGCACAAAACAGGCTTATGCACAATCAACAGTCGAGTGTGTAGGGCAGAGTAATTAATGAACAATTAATAAAAAAATCAATAATAAAAGGCAATACTGGGTCAACAAACAGATGTATAGTGGTTCGGTTAGGAAGATTTACTCCACTTTGAAAGTGGCAACGGTAGCTGGAGAACCTTTATTAATAAAGTAAGGTGAGAAAGAGAGAGAGCTCTCTAGGAAAGGTATGGTAGCTATGAGAGAGATATCTATGTAGATGTATGTAGAGAGATGCCCTCATATGTAGAAAGAGCTTATAATTTATAGGCACAGAACATTAGTTGAGGCGGTGACGTGAGGGTAAAGATACTAGTTCTTCGGAGAGGATAGCTACAAATGGTAAGTACAATTAAAGATTGTTATGATCTTTGAGAGTGACTATCCCGATGATTGCTCCTCACGTGCTCTAATATTCGTGGACTCCTTGAATTTTGCATTGGGTCGGATCGATGAATTGGGCTTGATCCGCCTTGTAGCTAATTTGGCCTCACCTCGTTAACTGGGCCTAACCCAATAGGATTTGGGCTCGTCATTTGCCCCCATGCCCCAAGTCCTTGCTATGCCAAGGAATTTGAGGGCATCAGTGAGCACTTCATCTAAAAAAGGTTTCTTGTCCTGCACAGTGGTAGCTTTTTCAACCTCTTGCTCTGTTTGCACCTTGAGAGCTCGTTTTCTTGTTCTTCCTTTTTCTTGCTTCTTCTTGCTTTGCTACTAGATATTTACTATGCACTCAAAGGAGATTTCAACCTTCCATATTTAAAGCCCATTTTTCTTTAATTTGGGCACACTATCTAGGGCTTTAAGTGGCCAACTTTCATTGAGCCCCTTTTTCTTTTCTATTTTTTTTTTATTTTCTTGTAAACTTTTCCCTTGAGAGTTGCAAATCTTCCACTAGAGATTGTGAGAGATTGGCAAACAGGAATCCCTTGGATGGTATTATAAGAGAAAACCCATCGAAGAAAGGGGGAGGAGCGACCCAAGGAGCAAATCATAAAATGGCATGGCAACTAGGAGACGGAGGGGAGCTAAGCAGCTCCAGCGCGTTGAATTAGCTGCTGGGTAGCACCAGTAAGGTGCTGGGTGACGCTAATGTCTTTAACTTGGGCAATACTCTTAGTGGTGGCATCAACACTTCCTAGTGCAAATAGGTTAGTGCCCCAAGCGTCTGTGACACCCAGGAGAGTGAAGGAGGCGACACTAGTTTGCACGTGAAAAATGATTCCAAGAATCAGAATGGCATAGGTAGGGGCGTCGCATTCAATAAGTTGGGTACGAGCAACGCCAATTGGCTGTGTAGTGCAAAAAGGCAATCAGGCAGCGACGGCGGCGTCAAGCATACTCCAGGCGGCGCCCATAGGGGTGGTGTGGCTAGTGGCACCCATGGTGCGTCTAAAGGTGTCATCTGTGATGGAGGTGATCAACATATGGAAGACGACGTCGGGTGGTGCCCAAGATGTAGTTGGAGACTCACTTTGCAAGGCTGGAGCTGGCGACGCCTCAATGGTTGGGCCTGGGGATGCCTCAGCAGCTAGGCTTGGTTACTTTGCTGGCGTGACAAAGAGCTTGGGAGTAGGAGACACTGGTGAATTCTGGGTATGCGACGCTGCAAAGAAGAAGGCCTGCACCAGTGTTGGGGGCGGCGCCATCATGGCTGGCAGTAGGCTATGCCTTGGGCGTCAGTGGGGAAGAGAGTAGCTGGAGATGCCCTAGGTTGGGCGATACAGGCTGCTTGTGCGAGCCTGGGCTAGGCGCCGCCTTGCAGGCATAGGTATAGGCTGGGCGACGTAGGTAGGCGTTGGGCGCTGGCTGGCGTTGGTTCTGGCTAGGCACTGCCTTGGAGAATGATGTAACACTAAGGCCAACTGGGTGATGCCATGGAGGCCTGGGCTATGTTAGGGGAAGTATGTGGTCTGGGCAATGCCCAGGAGACTTTGGAAAATCCAGGAGAAGGGAAGGCACGCTGGGGCACGAACCAAAGTATCAAAAAACCATAAAAAATTGAAAAAACTTTGAACGGCCATAACTTTGTGCTCGATTTTCCATTTGAGATGATTTTTATTTTTGAATTTGGGTATTGTTTTTAGATCTATGACATACACACAACTAAAGACACTTTGGGCAACAAATTTCTCCAAAAATATGTTTCTTTCTCTCTGAATTTGGGTTTTAAACACAAATTAGTGAAACTGATGGCGGTGAAAAGTTGCACTCTGGCAAACAATTATTAGGCATTCATGGGCGACGAGTTGGTGTTCTGTGTTTTACTAGAGAGGGAAACTATGACGGCTTTTAGCTAAGTACGAGGTAAACCCATTTTCTCCAATCCTAGTTTCTCCTTAATATTTTCTCGATGCTGGTTATGGTGGCGTCTTCTCCTCCTCCCAAGAGGGCGAGGTTTGACAACCCTAGTACTTTTTAGCTGGCGTCCGATGGCTAGGTTGCTTCCCGAGAATGGGATTGAGTGGTGCTCCCACTCTTTCCCAGACTGTGACTCTTGTGTGTACCAGAGCTAGCCCTTGCACCACTGTGGGAGTTGAGATTCCAGCTTGTTCTTCTACGGGGCTATCATCCTTGTGGCTTAGTGTCCATGCTTCGACGTGAAATTGCTAAGGGGCGACTTTGGAGGTCCGTGACTCTCGAGGATATCATAGAGGTTAGATCTCAAGGTCTAGAGGGCATTATCAATACCATGATTGAGGAGCTTTTCATGGTATGCCTTTCTTCTCAACTTTGATTTTGTACCCCGCCTATTTTCCTTCATGTTTTATTTTTTGAATGCTTGTAGGTAGTTGCTGCTTTTTCCTGCCTTTTTTCAAGAACGATCAAGTTTAAAAAGGCATTTAGAGTTATGGTAAGAGAGAGACAGACACAAGAGGTTACTGAGGAGCAACTGAGGTAGACTTATGAGAGAGTAAGACCTCTTGAGGCTGAGCTTTTATCAACTTATGGGAGAGGCGTTAAGTTGGAGGCTAAGGTTGCTTGAGAGCAAAGAAATTTTTTTTTTTGGTGACTCGCGAGAGAGTGCGAAGCTAGAGACATAAACTAATTAGGAGCAGAGGTAGGATTAGGTTGAGCTTTTGGCGACTTGCGAGAGAGTGCGAAACTGAAGACATAGACTGCTTAGGAGTAAAGGTAGGATGAGGCTAAATTTTTTGGTGAATCGCGAGAGAGTGCAAACCTGTAGACTGTCTTCATGAGAGTAGAGTCAAAGCTACAAGTGCCCCACGAGAGGGTCGCAAGAGCTGAGGCTGAGCTACTTGTAACCCGAGAGAGAGCTGCCATGGTATAGGCTGACCTGCAAGTAGCTCGTGAGAGGGCCATCAGGGCAGAGGCTTATTCCATTGAGATGGAGATGAGGAGTAAGGCTACTGAGAAGGCCGTTGCAGACACCTTTATCGATGGCTATGAAAAGTTTAAGAGAAAGGCCTTAGCAGGTTTCCATGCTATTGATTCTATAGCTTCGTCGCATATAAGGCCTCATGGATAGATGGTGACTGGAAGAGCCTAGATAAGAGTGGCTCGGGAGTAGTGAGTGATTATCTGGAGTATGACAACTTTTATCTTTTTGTCTACCTTGTTGTTAGATCATGTTCTGGCTATTGTAAGTTGTTTACAATCTTTATGAAATGAAAGCAAGACAGTTCTCTATTGATAATAGCTCTTCAAGTGTTCAGCGTCCCATGGATGGGCCAAGTTTTCCTTATTCCCAGTGTCTTGTCATCCCTAGGGTTGAACACTTTCACTTGGAGGGCCTCCTACGATTTCTTGATCCTTATAGAAACGATGTAGCATTCTCTGGCGGCGACTTGATTTCCTCTAACTTCTTCGATCCCACAGAGGGTTGGAAAATGAAGAACAAGGTAATAGGTGGATAGCACTACCCTTAAGGTATTGAGTGCAGGGCGTCCAAGTATAATGTTGTAGGCAGAGGGACAGTTTAGTACAATGAAATTCACCATGATGGTGGAGCTTCTTGGCATTGTCCCTACGGTGACTGGCAGGGTGATGGAACTCAAGGGATAAACCTTCTCCCCCAAGAATCTAACAAGGGGTGTCCTGATGGGTTACAATCTCTCCCTACCGAGGTAGAGGCTATCATAGGCTGGTGTGAACTGGATATCGACTGAGTTACTGCTATTGACTAGAATTCTCTTAACCTTGTAGTTGGCTACCATCATGGTTAAGACGAGAGGATTATTGTGAGTGAGCTGGATTCCCTCGAGATTCCTATCCGAGAAGATGATGATCTTTTCTTCCCCATGTAGTGGTGTCTTCGTTAGGCAAGAATCATTTGACTCTACTTGTCTGGCTTTCCTGGTATGGGCTTTCTTGACAAAGTTGGAGTCACCACTTCCTCTTCCTCTTCCTAGCCCTCCAAGGGGTTGCTGGCGTTCTCTATCATCCTGGTCTCGACCAGATGGCGGGGCTTGTTTTTTGCCAGCAACGTATTACCTCAGCTGGCCACGTTGTATGAGGTCCTCGATCTTCCTCTTGAGCTTGTAATAGTTATCAGTGTTGTGGCCATGGTCGCAGTGAAAATGGCAGTTCTTGTTTGGGTTTCTACGATTTTGGGCGGAGTTCATTTTTCCCGGCCAATGTATTGTAGGATCATCTTGGATTTGGAGCAGGATATGCTCAATTGATGCATTGAGCGGCATAAAGGCTTGCTATTCTCTTAGAGGTGGGAGACCAATGCGGTTCTTGACAGAGACTCTCTATGTCTCCTCTTGTTATTTGTTTCTCTCCTGTCTTCGCGAGTATCCTTTCTTTTGTCACCCCCGCGGAAGGACTCACCTCATCAAGCTTTGGTGGCATCCTCGACATTCATATACTTCTATGCCCTTAACAGCAGTTTGGGCATGCTGGAGGGTGACTTCTTTAGGATAGAAAACATGAAGCTCGAGGAGCGTAGCCCTACAATAAAGGCAGCCATGATCACTTTGTCGTCTGGCTACTTGATCTGGAGTGCCTCCTTGTTAAAATGAGCGAGGTAACTCCTTAGACTTTCATCTCGATCCTGCTTGATGGTGAGTAGGTGAATAACTGATTTTTGATGTCGGCGTCCCCTAATGAAGTGAGAGATGAAAGACTTACTTAACTCCGCAAAGGAGTGGAAGGAAGAAAACTTGAGATTGGCGAACCACTGTCGTGCAGATCCTTTAAAGGTGGTAGGGAAGACTCTACACATGATCTCATCAGGCACATTGTGGAGCTGTATGAGAGACTTGTATGTATCAAGATGATCTAGGGAGTCCTTAGTGCCATTAAAGATCTCGATGGAAGATATTTTAAACTTTGAGGGCAGGGAATAATTGACAACATCCGCAACAAACAGAGTGTCAGTACGCCTTACCAAATAATCCATCATTTTAGGGCTCCTATGCTTTGATGGCGATGAGGGCATCGCCAAGCCGATTTTGCACCTCCTTGATCTTCTCGTCCCATTGATTAGAGACATCCTCTGTTGGATCACTCTAGTAGCTTTCATGATCCGTATACAGGTTTTCTCCCTCATCCTCCTACCCAGGATGGTTGGTTGCGTGTGGAGCAAGTACATGAGAAGGGAGAACATGTGAGGCGCTTGCACGCAGTGGAGGACTCCCTAGCACTGTATGGGGGCGCCCTGGCATTGGGTGTCACAGTGGGGGGTGCCTTGGCTCCTAGAGTGGGGAGGTTGTGGCACCTCTCTAATTGGAGGGAGTACTATTCCCATAGGCTAAGGGGCGACGCCTCTCAAGGCAAGCCTCAACTGGACAATTTGTTGGCTTTGGCTTACCAACAACTGCATGGTCTCCAAAAGGTGTTGCCCGACCACAGGAGTTGTCGCAGTGGACGGTTCCACTGGTGCAAGCGGAAGCAGAGACTCTTCTTGGCGGACTGAGTTGTTGTCCTCCGGTTGTTGATTCATCGACCTAGTTGTGATTTCTATGGATTTGAAAGAGAATAACATGGTAGTAGAAAACTTAGTCATTTCTCACAGACGACGCCAAACTGATGATGCACAAAACAGGCTTATGCACAATCAACAATCGAGTGTGTAATGCAGAGAAATTAGTGAACAATTAATAAAGCAATCAATAATAAAAGGCAAATACTGGATCAACACATAGATGTATAGTAATTCGGTCAGAGGGGCCTACTTCACTCCGAAAGTGATAACGGTGGCCGAAAAACCTTTATTAATAAAGTAAAGTGAGAGAGAGAGCTCTCTGGGAGAGGTATGGTAGTTATGAGAGAGATAGTTATGTAGATGTATGTAGAGAGATGCTCTCACATGTAAAGAGAGCTTACAATTTATAGGTACAGAACTTTAGTTGAGGCGGTGACGTGAGGGTAAAGGTACTAGTTCTTCGGGGAGGATAGCTACAAATGGTAAGTATAATTAAAGAATGTCTTGATCTTCGAGAGTGTCTATTCCGATGATTACTTCCCACGTGCTCTAATTCTATTGGACTCTTTGAATTCTGAACTAGGTCGAATCGATGAATTAGACTTGACCCGTCTTATATCTAATTTGGGTTCACCTCATTAACTGGGCTTGACCCAGCAGAGTCTGGCTTGTCACTATTCTTCTTCGGTAGCTAGTCGTACCTTGAACTTATTACTTTTGATCGTTTTCTATAAGTATTGCACGACCAAATATATTCAATAAAGTTCTCAATGATATCACACGGTGGATTCGATTTTTATTTTCGTGGTAAGTCGTTAAATACAATTTCCATGGAACGCTAGTTGTGTTTCTGGACAGAAGGTTCTGTTTGGTGAAGCATGAAGTTTATTTGGCCATTTATTGCCGACACTAGGATAACACTAGTACAGAAAGTTCTCACTTTTAAAGATAAAAGTTATTTTTTTTAACAGTAAAGACACAACTATTTTAGAAAATTCATGATCCATCCTGAATTTCTTCAATTAGTTGTAACGATTTTTTGAAAAATTATAATTTCAATTATTGATCATAATATTTTGAAATTATTTATACTTTTACAAGTTGTAACTTACATTTTAAAAAATTATAATTCGACGGTAAAAAATTATAGTAATTTTTAGTACGATTCTAAAGACGATAATGTAATCTTTACCCCCCTACACTATCTTCCTTCTACTATTTGGTGTTAATTATTACCCTGAAATCAGCAACGTACATGCAGATTTAAGTAGCTCAACTATTTTTAGTGCTGTACTGATCTCATTTCCAAGGTCCCAGAAAAGCCTCAACATATAAGAACATCTGCCCCGCTTCCGTGCTAGATTTATTAAAGAGCAGGACCACTGAAGCATGAACCACAGGATCAAAAACTGTACTAAGCAAATACAAACATCTTCTGTGCCTGCATTTAAGTGCATTGAAAACAAAATCCAATGGGTACCATGCCCAAGAATTTCCAAACATGGACACTCAAAATCTGGGCCCACACTTTGATTTAACATTGCCCAAAGTCTGACCACTTTAATGCTCCTCAATAACCATTACTATTTTTGTTACATTAAATAATGATCATAGATAAAGAGATACACATTTGATTATTGTTTCAAATACAACGAATTCAAATGGTAAATAGATTCTGATCAAAAAAAAAAAAAATGGTAAATAGATTGATCATCAATTCTTAGGGGTGATTCAGTAATCAAACTTATTTTCTTGCACTTAAGAGGTGTTAGGTCCGATACTTCTTATATGCCTTAAAGGTCAGCCACCTTTGTTCCACATGTCCTTAAACTAATTTGAGTTACCGTAGTTAGTTCAGAGCTAGAAGGTGTAGTCAGTGCAAATTTAAACACACTATAACAAAAAAATATTCAAAAACAAATTGATCATGCAAAAGTTGTCAAATAAATAGACCATCACAAAACCAACTAAAATCACATTGTACGTGATTATATTTTTTGGGGTAGAGCAAACTTAAACATAACTTTGAAATGCGACACGGCTCATGAACAATCAGTTTGAGCTTATATAAAAATGGCTTACAAGGATTAACAGTATTAGTCAATTTTTCTTTAGATAACGGAGAATTATCTCAACTCAATTATTAATAAGAGTAATCTTCACACATGCTATTCAGTCACTTGGTAATGCTTCAAGAAATTAACCTAAATCAATTGATAAAGAGTGCATAGCGATAGAAAGTATCTTTTTCATCTGTTAGTATGATCATGATCCAAAGATTTGATCAATGAGATAGTTAGCAAACTCATTAGCCTGTGTTTATATCACCATGGGTAAAACAAACAGTACTCTTCTCTATGACAAGCCCTTGTCAAGAAAGGTAGTATATGAAAAGTATACATTTTCCATCCTTCTTATGCTTCTTTTTCTTCTTATTTTCAACTTGTCCACTTTTTATATCCTAATCTTGCTTCACTTTGACTAAGTCCCCACGTACATCCAATAATTTGGCAAACCACGGTCGTCGGGCCATGCTCCACCAAAGCATCTCTCTCTCTCTCTCTCTCTCTCTCTCTCTCTCTCTCTCTCTCTCTCTCTCTCTCCGCTGTTACATTCCATTATCAAACCACTAGTAAATTCTCGCAAAAGTCATGGCTATGAAACCAAAGCCCACATATGCCCACCATATTAATTGAGATACTTTGGGTTACATTTGCACTCAACGTTATCACCTTTATCTCTGTGTAATTTATTATTGAATGAAATTGAGTTAAAATATAATGGACATAATATCGATCCCAATATCCGTACCAACTAACCCTCTATATATATGCTTCCATCATTGTTTCCATATGATGTCCATTTTTCATCTTCCCTCTACATTTTTTCTTACACATAGCTCTAGTACTAGTCCTTGTGCTTTGTTCATAATCTACCTTTAGTGTACACAAGTTCACTTGTATAATATGAGCACCAAGGCCAGAAAAAAGAACAAAATCACCTGGTTCATAAAAGCACCCATTAGGTTGCTCACCAGGGCCCGGGACTTCTACAGCAGAAGCATGTCGGAGTGCGCCGGACAGTTCAGTGACGGGCCTTACGGCGTCATTATGGGCTGCCCAACCACCCCGCAGATGTTCAATTTGCCTAGGAGTTTCAGTGTGAACTCAACATCAAGCAAAGAGGAAGATTTTAAGGAGCTTATGAGGGTTGCTTCGACTAGGAGCCAGGGGAGCAAAATTGAGTTGGAGATTCTCCGGCGAAGGCAGCCGGAACAATCACCGGTGGCCGGAGTGAATGCTGTGCCTCCTAGTCAGAGCATTGGAATTGGAAGAATTGATGAGGATAAGCCTTGTGAGAGTTGTGACTTTGGAGGAGAAATAAAGGTGAAGAAGGTTATAAATCCAAGAAGCAGAAGCTATGCTGTTTCAACAACTGGGATGATCTGAAGTTTAAACAGTACTATATGGGAAATGAGGCTCTCTCTCTCTCTCTCTCTCTCTCTCTCTCTCTCTCTCTCTCTCTTATATGTACTGTCCATAGGCTTGTTTTCATATTTTAGTTCTACGTGTTCCAAAAAAATTCAGAAAATTCCTAAATTGTTTGATTAATGCAATGTTTGGTTGGGCATGGCGTTTGGCAAATTGTTGTGTTTTATAATATTTGAGATAAAATGGATTTCGTTTTCTTCGGAAGTAAGGTAAATTCACTGATGTTTGTGAGTATCGTGTCGGGAAAAAAAATGAAAAAGGAAATCAAACCCAGTCATGAATCTGTAAAGGGTACACCAAACACAGCCTACCCCAATCAGATTTAATGAGTTCAACACAATATGGAACTTTTTGTACTAAAATGATGAACTGAGAGAAGCTTGAAAGACTCGGTCACCCAAGCTACTACGTAGAAGAGACCAAGAATACATTAACTGCTAATTCTGAGAGGAGGTATTGAATTTTAGGGGAACAATCCTATCCCTAAAAACTTGCAAAATGCTACACAATAGAGTTCTATGATCAGTGAATTGGTCGTTGAAGCTGAGAAAATACCCTCAAAAGAATAGATATAAGAAAAGATTTCTGAGTTCTCAGACCTCAGCAAAAGTTTCAATTTTTATCTGTGAAGAATCATGAGTAGTGCTGATTGAATTTGGTTGATTCCAATTCGAATTAAAAATTTGGATTTATTTCCACAACCCATATTTGAAAGTTTAATATCCAATCCGTTAAAATTGAATATTTGGTTCAAATATCTTATATAATCCAAATAACTTTTATTGAGCTGATTTTAGCAAATTAAACAGAAATTTTAGGTCAATTTTATCAAAAACTACTAAATTACATAATATATTTGTACTAGTTATTTTCCGTGTCTGAAGACACGTAATAAAAAAAATTGTCAATAATAATCATATTTTTATTCATACCTAAAATCAAATTACAAACATAAAAGAGAAAAAAAGAAATTTAAGTACCGATTGTAATGAGGGTGAGTGATGTTAGTGGTGGTGGGCGGTAGTGTTAATGATGGGAGGCGGTGATGGATGTGGTAGGTGGTGGCAATTGTGGGTGACAACGGTGGTGGTGGTGGTCAGTTTTGGGTGACGATGATGGTAGTGACAGTCGTGGGTGACGGCGGTGGTGGTGGAGGACAACGGTGATAATGGTTGGAAGTAGTGGTGGTGGTGAGACGACGACGGTGGTGGTGGGCGGTGACGATGGTGGTGGTGGGTGACGATGGGTGCTTCTAGGCGATAGTGTGATGGGTGATGATGAATGACAGCAGTGGTAAGTATGGTGGAGGTAGATGACAGTGGGTGGCTGCAATGGTGGGCGACGACGGGGTGGTGGTGGTAGATGTAATGGGGGTGGGTAACAGTGGTTGGTGGCGATGGTGGGCGACTATGAGATGGTGGTGGGTTGTGATAGTAGGTGACGGTAGACAATAATGGTAGTGGTGGGTGTTGACGAAAGGCGACGGTGGTAGTGAGATGATGGTAGTAATGATTATAAATATATATAAGAATAACATAACGATGGTGGTGATGGGGTAGGGAAGGTGGGGGTGCAAGTGGGGAAATGGCGGTGGTGGTAGCTGTGATGGTCGTGAGGGTAGTGGTGATAGTGGGGGCAATGATGGTAATAGTAGTGATGGTGGTGCGGTGGTGGTAGTAGTGATGATGGTGATGGTGATGGGGCAATGGTGGTAGTGGTGATGGTGAAGGTGATGGTGGTGGTGGGGAGGTGGAGAAGGTGGTGACGATGGTAAGATGGGTGTGATAGAGTGGCGATAGTGGTGGTGGGGGTGGTAGTAGTGGTGATAGTGATGGTGCGGTGGAGGGGTGCTGGTAGAGGTAGTGATAGAGCAATCTCAACCGAAAATAAGTAAAAGTTATTTTTTTATTTTTTGAAATTTAAATTAAATTATATTTTATTATATATATATATATATATATATATAAATTATCTTCAATACAGATATATGACTCAGATCGAATCATAATTTATCCATATTCAACTGGTTCGTTTTGGACTAGGAAACACGGATACGTTAACACGGGTACAATACGATACAAATATGACGATACAACAAAACTTAAAAAGACGGGTACGACCAGAATACGTTTATAATAAAATATATTTTATATTTTACTATTATTTAACGACTTAAAAATTATAATTTTTCAATAATTCTTTAACATTAGTAAGTAAAATTAGGAATTTTAACCATGAAAAGGATATAATAGCGTCTTATTATGATATATTCATAAAATGAACATGACCAATTGAAGGAATCATAATCACATTTAACTAGTTGGTTTTACAAGTATTTATTTATAAAAGTATAGTGTAGGTAACTCATTTTTTTATATTGTATGTGAACTCCAAAGGAAGGGGTATAGTTTAAAATTAAAAATTGTACATCTTACTCCATGTTTAGAACTTAGAAGTATCCGCAAAGTGTTCACATATTTTATTAATTATCGGATATAGATGAGGCGTATCCGATACGCATTGTCGAGTAGTCGACGAGTATTGTATTTGATATGATATCAAATATGAATACGTCGATTTTAACGAAGTATTTGTGCTTCATAAGTTTTGGATGAGATTTGAATTAACATACGCTTTAAGGTTAAACCATTGAGAAATTTTCCAGTGTAAAATCACCTTTAAAAAAAATTGTATATACCAATAAAGAGCGGCCACCCATCTTTTTTTAACGTTTTGTGCAAGTGTCTCATGTGCGTGGCAGTATGGCACGTAATACATAGTCTAAATCTGAGACACGCAGCGATAAAGTTGACTACAAAAACCATGAGATACAGAGAGTCTCTGCTGTAATCCATTTCTTTCACCCCTCAACCGAAGACGACTCTATCATTACCTCACACCTGTCGATGACTCACCAACCAATCTATGGTAATTTTGCTATGAAATGCAAAGCCAAAAAGAACTCTGTTGTTCTTTGGCCTCTCTTGGCTGGTCCAATTTCACTACTTGGTCTGTTGGGCGATCATAATTTTGCAAAGGTAAACGCATATATAAATATCAAGTTCAGTGCGCAGCTTATCTGCTTATATTTTCACGTATTCATTCTAATTTTTTTTTTTAACTCATCACTTTTTATGCATTTTTTTTTTTGGGAAAATTTACTTATTATGCATTTAAATGGAACTGATTGCATATAAATATATTCTTTACTCATTAATAATATATAATCCGCCAACAAGAAAACTAGAAAAAATTTATACATATGGGAAGGGATTTGAATCCCACAAATATATGTTCATTTAATGTAGAGTTAATAACATTTTTGATTTTTAAAGTATGAATTTTTTGTTAGTTTAGTCTTCATTATATTAATTTTGTCAATTTGGTTCATAAAGTATTCAATCTGTGTTACTTTGGTCCTTGATCAGACAATCCATCAAATTTTTTTGCGAAAGTAACCACGTATAATTTTTTTTAGGCAGTATTCACATACTTAAAACGTAATCATTCTATCAAAAATTTAATAATCCGTCTATGTAAAATAATACGAATTAAATATTTTAGAGATTAAATTAACAAAATTGATATAATAATATTTAAACTAATAAAAAATATATACTTTATGAAGCAAAAAATCTACTGACCTTTTAATATAATGCGCGTTAAGATGTGTTTGGTCGGCTATATTGGACTGCTGTAATGATGGGCCTTTTAAATCATGTGTTAGTGGCTCAATACTATACAAGATGAAGTGCACCACTATTAGATAGCATTTCGCAGCAATAAGCAAAGTTATAAGACTTGGTTATCGTTATCATGCAATGATGTTGGAACCACCATTGTGCTTCATTGAGATCATTCCACCACTTATCCCGAAAATTTCACTTAATATTATTGTTTTTGCCATGCTTGGCGACAATTAACATCTTTGTCCACAACCTGATTAGAACAATTTTGTCCACAAACTTCACTTAATATCTTTGTCAATAAAATTGTCGACGCAAACTTTCAGTCTGGCTCCACGTTAGTGTCTCGAATCTCGATCGACAAAGAAAACGAAGTCTGGAGGAGGTATGGGGGATCCATCGTTAGATGCATCTCTAATAGGCTTTCAATTTAAACTCAATTCGAGAGTCAACCCTTAAAATTTATTCTCTAATTGACTTCTTATTTAGACTCTCTAAAATATAGAGTTTAATTTAATTCTGTATTTGGAGAGTAAAATTTACTTTTTACTCTATTTTTTTGGAACAAAAAAATATATATATATTTGTCTTTTCATCCAAGACATTTAGGAAAATCTAACTTAAGTATCAAATAATTGACCCTCAGAATTCCCGCCTTCCGGTCTTCAATTTCCTTTCAAGCCTGCCAACGTGAGGAAACCTCATTTGGATCTTTGGAGAGCAGAGTCCATCCATCAAAAGGCTAATCAAATCAATTGAAAAGGTGACTAGGAGCAGGGCAATCATCTATTCAGCTTGTATGAAGGTTGGGACAAATTTTACAACAATAGTCACCATGAATCATAAGTGAATAAGATTTAATATAAACAATCTACAAAATCAATCTCATGTGAAGGAGATGAGGGAAGGGGTTATGGGGGATGACACGAGGAGTATGACTTATGGGTGTAGGGAAGGAGGAGAGTGAGAACACATACGAGTTGACTTGCCCAATATAGGGTCCTATATTGAATCGAAATTGGTTGAAGTCTTTTTTTTTGTAAATTCATAACTTTTACTAAGACATGGGTAAGTAATTAGATAAAGTAACCATAGAATACTAACATTAAGGATGAAATTGATAGAATTAACACTTAAAATAAAAATTTGACAGAAAAAGAGAGAATAAATTACATGCGAACCCCTTAAACTTTATCACTTAATTACGTAAATCTATCATATTTGAAATATGACGCAGTTAGACCCAAAAAAGTTGGTGCATGTGTTGACATA